GTTTACTGTCGGTAGCTTCTAATGCTTTATGGAGACATTATCCAAAGAGGGCCAGTGATTCCACTGGACAGCTTGAGTTAGCATAACAGTGCTTTTCACTTGTTTTTAATTAAAGCAAGAAACCAATGACAAAAACTAACAAGATCAATAAAGAACCTTGTTTACTAGGGGTGTAAGAAAATATCGATACACTGAAATATCGCGATATTTCATTTCCTGATACTGTATTGATATTCTAAAGCTCTGTTAAGATTTTTAATTAAGGTTTAAAATGTTAACTTTCCTGCCAGCCATTCATTTTTATGTTGTAGTTCAGCCTCTGACCACTAGTTGGCAGCAGTGAGCCAGACATTTGGCTCCTCTACCTCTTGAGCGCCAGAGAGTAAGGGTAGCATTAGCATTGTACGTAAACATTAGCTTTTCTTATTTTTTTCCAGTAAGAGATTTTTATTTAATAGAATTTTTGGACAAAAAAAAAATCGCGATTATCGCCTTGCTTACAGTATCGCAATATCTCTGGATATATCGTATCGTGACCCCTCTGTTATGATATGTATCGTATCGCCAAATTCTTGCCAATACACAGCCCTAATAATCAACGCATCACTTTTTTTTGTAACTTTGTATTTTATTTCATTGTCGACTAATCACAGACTGGTTGACCATAAAAATAATCTTGGCAGCCCTAATTATCACTACTGCATACGTGTGACAAGGACAGAAAGGCAGACGGGGCAGTGGAAGGTGCTGCAGCAGTTTGGAGAGAAAAACAGTTAGAAAAAAAAGATGCATCAACTATTAAATTAGTCGACGATTTTAATAGTCATCTAACCGTGGCAGTCCTAGTCAGAACAGTATTTTAGCTAACATACAGCTTCTTTTAGCTGCCATTTTGTTACTTTTAGCTACTGTTTTGTTACGTTCAGTTACAGCTCTGCTACATCGAGCACTGTGCTGATCTTATCCACAGTACTTTATTTTCCACAGTACTTTATTTAACATTTATTTACTAAACAAAAGTAACCAAAATAGGAAGAAAAAACAAGCAGCTAAAGAAATAATGAGGAGCAGAAGCAGCCAGTACAACACATACAGAAATACAGCAGACTTAACCCTGGTTATATATGACCCTCTGTTGTAAAGTTTATCATTTAAATCCTGAGGAAGACAGTCTAAACACTCATTTTATCCACAGTACTCCTGATTTCACATCTACCCATAATTCATAGTGAAAGCTGGTTTTATATTTCTGTTTGGCTGTTGATTACAGTTATACACCATGACTGTTTATCAAAGTATTTTTCACTGACGTTTGGTGTAAATGTCGACAAATGGAGGTATTTTTACTAACAGCTGCTACTGACATCAACTACCTCATCTTTACCAAGACACACACATGCAAAATCATTAATGTCAATGCCAGCTACTTTTGGCTGCTGTTCTCATGTTTTTAGCTAGCTAAAAAAAGGCAGACAGGTAGCCAAAAGTATTATTAGCTAAATAATCCTTTTGGCTATTAGCTAAACGCAGCAGAAAAGCAGCTACAAGTAGCAGGATGTTAGCTAGAAGCAGCAAAGCAGACTGACCTTCATCAGCTTCTTGTTCTCTCGGTTCAGCTCCATCTCCAGCTTCAGCACGTCTCCCACCGCCATGTTTTCCTCCTCTTCCTCCTCCTCCTTCAGTCTGCTCTTCACTCCTCTTCTTCTCCTTCCTGCTCTCCTCCCGCCTCCTCGCCTCCTCCTCTTTTCAGTGTCTGTCTTCGGCTCCTCATCCTCCTTCATGCTGTAGTCTTTATCATCTTCATCATCCACGAAGCTCAAGCTGTCCTCCTCTTCATCCTGCTCCTCCTCCTCTTCTGATGATGATGATGATGATGATGGCGCTTCGGCTGTTTCTCCCAGGATGGAGGCGAAGGCCAGCTGGACTCCTGGACTGATTCCCTCCTCTGAGAACACACAGAACCGTATCAGAACCGAGCCTGAGATCAGTCATGGTTCACACAGTGACGGCCATCTTACCGATGGTGACTTTAGCTTGTGTCGAGGTGGAAGGCTGAGCATCGTCTTCAGCTGCTTCGTCCGGTTCCTGTGAAGAAACACACAGCCGAAATGTTTGTCAGTGTTTACAACAACGCAGAGGGAACACTTTAACTATGGCTAACAGTAGCCGAACACCAGCTAATATAGCTGAATGTTAGCTAACAGTAGTTGAACACCAGCTAATACAGCTGAAATTTAGCTAGCAGAAGACCAGCTAATATAGCTGAATGTTAGCTAACAGTAGCAGAACACAAGCTAATATAGCTGAATGTTAGCTAACAGTAGCCAAACACCAGCTAATACAGCTGAATGTTAGCTAAAAGTAGAAGAACACCAGCTAATATAGCTGAATGTTAGCTAACAGTAGCAGAACACAAGCTAAGATAGCTGAATGTTAGCTAAAAGTAGCCCAACACCAACTAATATTGCTGAATGTTAGCTAACAGTAGCCAAACACCAGCTAATATTGCTGAATGTTAACTAACAGTAGCCAAACACCAGCTAATATAGCTGAATGTTAGCTAACAGTAGCAGAACACAAGCTAAGATAGCTGAATGTTAGCTAAAAGTAGCCCAACACCAACTAATATAGCTGAATGTTAGCTAACAGTAGCCGAACACCAACTAATATAGCTGAACGTTAGCTAACAGTAGCCAAACACCAGCTAATATAGCTGAATGTGAGCTAACAGTAGCAGAACACCAGCTAATATAGCTGAATGTTAGCTAACAGTAGCAGAACACCAGCTAATATAGCTGAATGTTAGCTAACAGTAGCCAAACACCAGCTAATATAGCTGAATGTTAGCTAACAGTAGCAGAACACCAGCTAATATAGCTGAATGTTAGCTAACAGTAGCCGAACACCAGCTAATATAGCTGAATTTTAGCTAAAAGCAGCAGAACAGTAGCAGAACACCAGCTAATATAGCTGAACGTTAGCTAAAAGCAGCAGAACAGTAGCTAACCTGGAACTGCTGCTGGGCATAAATAAAGTTACATTAGCTAAAAGTGACAGAACAGTAGCTTAAATAACAGGAGCTAAAAGTAGCAGATTGACAGCCAAAATGAGCTGAATATCAGCTAAAAGCTAATAACAGGGAAATAAAAGAAGAATAGAGCCAGTATGATGAAGCTAATGTAAAACAGAATGTTTATAAAACACATTTCACTGTATTATGAGAATCATTTCACATACAGTTGTATAAAAGTTATAAACTAGACCAGAAGTGACATCACTCACCTCCTAAAAGATGTTTTAATATGTGGGTAGTTAGCAGTGAGATGTGGCTAGTTAGCAGTGTGATGTGGCTAGTTAGCAGTGTGATGTGGGTAGTTAGCAGTGAGATGTGGCTAGTTAGCAGTGTGATGTGGGTAGTTAGCAGTGAGGTGTGGCTAGTTAGCAGTGTGATGTGGGTAGTTAGCAGTGTGATGTGGGTAGTTAGCAGTGTGATGTGGGTAGTTAGCAGTGAGATGTAGGTAGTTAGCAGTGTGATGTGGGTAGTTAGCAGTGTGATGTGGGTAGATAGCAGTGAGATGTGGGTAGTTAGCAGTGAGATGTGGGTAGTTAGCAGTGTGATGTAGGTAGGTAGTTAGCAGTGAGATGTGGGTAGTTAGCAGTGTGATGTAGGTAGGTAGTTAGCAGTGAGATGTGGGTAGTTAGCAGTGTGATGTAGGTAGTTAGCAGTGAGATGTAGGTAGTTAGCAGTGAGATGTAGGTAGTTAGCAGTGAGATGTGGGTAGTTAGCAGTGTGATGTGGGTAGTTAGCAGTGTGATGTGGGTAGTTAGCAGTGTGATGTGGGTAGTTAGCAGTGTGATGTGGGTAGTTAGCAGTGTGATGTGGGT